AACCAAGGGGCTCAGGTTGTGAGGGCTCAAGGAGGGCTTCCTCTGTGCAGACAACCCAGCCCAGTTCCAAGCTACAAGACAGATATGTTGGGATCTGGAACTTTAGGGTGTGCACCTGGACCCCATTAAAAGGAATCCTTTGAAAGCAAACTAAAGCACTCCATCCGTTTATGCGGTGCTAACAAGCTGCTCAACAAAGGGAAGTTCATATTCAGTAAAGGTGCGGGAGTCCAAGAGAATGGTCTAGAGAAGGATGCTCTCTCTCTCTCTGCGTCAAGGTGGTGCCCTGAGCTCTGTGCCGTCATAGGAAGCAGGGCACAGGAAGTGGTACAGGAAACAGAGCAAAAAGTACCCAAACCAGCTCCCCTCACACTCAGGTAAAGCCCCACGGTTTCATCATTTCCCAGTAGACTTTTCATCCTTCGGTCTCCACAGCAGAGGTTAGGATTCCCTATGATGTGAAGGAAACATTGAAACCATAGCAGTTGGCTAGGTACGGGAAGATGAGCTCTTCCATAGTTCTGCTTTCATGAAGTGTCAGGAGAATGCTGGAGAAGGGAACAGGAGGTTTCTGTAAATGAGGAGTTGCTGGGTGCAATATTCCTATACAAGATGGACACGTTTGAGAGACCTGGTGGACCACACTTAGGCCATAAATAATAATGCTGGGATGTACACTTAAAATCCCATTCAAAGCAGAGATCATGTTCCGCTTTCCAAGCACAATATTGACGATTCAGTAGGCATCCCTAGGCGTACCTGAGCTGGCATCTGACTGCTGGCTGGTCTCAATGGAAGAGCGTGTCTCACAGATATCTGGACCACAGCCACACCTTTCCTCTCTCCATGTCTTACTCCTCCGAGGGCCAGAGTCAACAGCCTTCTCTGATAACGTCCAAAAAATTGCCCCCTAAGGACTCATGTAGTGCCCGCATGCAGCCCGCTTTCCTCAGCTCAGCTCTGTCATCGGAAGCCAGAAGAAGCAAAAGACAGAGTTGAGGAAAGTCTAAACACTTCAGTTCCTTGTGTGTTTTCCCCGATTATACCAGTGTCCCCAAGCCCCAGGCCTGTCTGCCACCATCTCCTGCCTCCATCCTTGGGGAGTTGTGGGATTGTCTTGCTTTGCCCTGCGCAGAGTTTGTGACTTTGAATTCCCTGCCTTTTGGCTCTTTTACTTAACACTATTTAATTCTAATTTTACCCACAATTCAACTTTAATTTGATGCACACATATGGTTCATCACTGCAATGGACACCCAATTGCCTGCCACAGAAAAAGAAAGCCAGGAGATAGTGTGAGAATACCCAGGGGTGGCTCTTTTTATTTATTTATTCTTCAGTGAGGATGACGGTGTCCAGTGGTGCTATCACACATGTAGCATGTAACAGGGACCTGTGAAAACAGCATTCCTTCGATAATGCCTTCTAACACCCGGGAAGCTGAGGACGTTTGCAGCGTTTTCTTCTCACACATGCTTTAATAACTGAAAACAATCTAAAGAAGCAAAAATATCAGGGCCAACAAATTTCAAAGAGATTAGTTTTTTTCACCTCTCACTTTAAAGGAAATTATAACTTTCTAAGCAAGCAAACCAAACGGCTTTTTATGCATATTTGATTAGCTCATTTCCTTTGATTTGCTGGAGTGATGTCATCGGGGCCCAGCTGTTGGTCTGTTGTAAGTGATTTCCCTTCCTCGGGTTTCAGCCAGTCATTTCTACCCCTAATGGAATTGCTTTGAATGGAATCCAGAATTTTTTTTTATGGCTCGCCTCTCCCATCAGCTGATACCCAGCGCTCCTTGGGAAAATGAGGAATGGCCACAAAGGCATTTCAATGTCCAGCAAGGAGGAGTCTCTTTGAAGCCAGTCTGTCTCAAGTGTCTTAGATTCTCCTCTGTCCATCCTAGAAAATAATTGTGAGAGTCTAACGTAGATAGGGGGTCCTGAATGTTTCTCCAGAAATAGGCATGGCCTACCCTTCTCTACCCCGCATGTCCTTCTAATGTAACATGAACGAGTTGTACAGTGAGCAAGAGCCACAGATGTCAGATTCTGCAGACCATTGCACAATGGAAAAACCACACAGGACTAGACATGGAGAAAATCTCTGAGCTTACTCAGTTTTGTTGCAAACTTAGTATTGCTGTGTGTGTGTGTGTGTGCGTGTGTGTGTGTGTGTGTGTGTGTGTGTGTGTGTGTGTGTTTAAAAATGCAACAAATGGATGCTGGGAGAACAGGCTGTCTAGTGCTTTGGAGCAGCATAGCGTAGCTACTGTTACATGATGCTCATCTGTGAGGTCAAGATTTTGCAGTCTCGACAACTGTTGATTGCCTGGGTTGTTAATGGTTTGTGCGAGTCCTGGGCATCCCAGGCGATTTAGCAGTGTTGAGATACTGCTGCACCCACCTATCTCCCACTGCTTTAGACAGAAGTAAAAATTAAGCTATCTTCCCAGATTCCCATGGCTTTCTGAGAGACAGAATTGGCCTTGGTTGAATGTCAGTCACTACAGTAGATTCAAGGAAATGCAGCCATCAGTATATGGGGTGGGAATACTTAAAAGTCAAGGAGAAAAGCTCTTTGCTAGAGTTCACATCACGGTCTCTGTGGTACCTATACCCTGCCTGCGTCTGCTTAGGATGCCTGGGTTCCACCCTGATCTCAAGTTCTCTAGTCTAGAATGTCTTCCTTCCCTCTCTTTCTTTCGGGGATGCTGGTAGAAGTCTATTTCTGACTGTATCCTCTTTGCTTGCAAGCCAGAGATGGAGGATGTGTACCTTGCTTGATTTGTTTCTTTCTAGTCCCTACATATCTTACCTCCCAGACAGCCACCATGTCATTCAAACTCCAATAACTGCCTCCCTTTGCTCACCTATCTGTATTACCCACACAGTGCTGAGCTACAGGCAGATTACTTTAAACTAAGCCTGCCTAGTGAGCTGTCTCCAGCTCTCTTCTCTCCAGTTAGAGGAAACACCTTGCAGTAAGGGAATGACACTCCCTGTTTGTTTTCTCATACTCGCTGTCTACTCTCATTGCTATCAGTCTGTAAACAAAGGTCCAAGAAATGTGCATTTGCTGGTTTGCTAGGATTATTACCAAAACTTTAGAATAGGATAGGGGGAATCATTTCCTTGGTGATGTCCTCCTACGCTTATTTTAGGTCAGTTCTAGTTTCAGCTCTAGGGCTATGATAAGACCATCTGACCAAAAGGACAACTTTAGAGCATGGAAGAGCTTGTTTCATCTTACACTTCCAGGTCGGAGTCCACCATTGGGAGGAGTCAGAGCAGGAAGCTGAGATAGAAAGCTGGGGTGGGGCACAGCTCAATGCATTCCTGCTTTACTAGCTTTCCTATAGAGTCCAGGACCATCTGCCTAGGGAGTGGCTCTACCTATGGTGGGCTTAGTCTTCATTCATTCATTAAAAGAAACCAAGACCATCCCACCCAAACATGCCACAGGCCAGTCTCATCTGGGCATTTCATCAGCAGAGAAGCTTTTCTCAGGAGACTCTAGGCAGGTCAAGTCGTCAGTAGAAGTTAACTAAGAAAAGATCTCCTCCTCCTTCAGGTCGCTGGTACTTAAATGAAATGAATTGGTCCCTGGCAGACTCCTAACACTAAGAATAACTCTTTGAACGAACCCTCTATACGACAGCTGCCTCTGATACTACATTAACCAAGTTATTTGGGCGAGGGATCACAGCTTAGGAAAACGAAGCACGCTTGTCTTGCCAATGTCCTATCACTCGATGATTGAGATTATAAAAGCATTACGCTGAGTGAGTTACATGGCCTTCTCCATTTAAATGGACAAATATTAACCTCTTAAGATAATAGAGCCCTGAGAGGAATGGAAAGCATAGCAGAAAGGAGGGAGTTGAAAACGGAGATGAAGCCTTGCAGGCTTGACTTTGCTCATTTGTGCTCCACTTAAACCTTGTCATGAGATGAACAGTGTGCCAGCTGGAGCACACATGATTTACTTCCTTTTCAAGAATGCCTTGTGTTAGTAGAGCAATGGCTCCAACCCATGACAGGCTCTCCAGGACTGAGCTATGACCACAGACGTGTTCAGTCAGTGTAAAATCATGTAGTGCCCATTCTAGGATTTTGTGATGATTGTTGCAGAGATGTGTTATAACAGGGTCTGGAGAGATAGCTCAGCAGCTAAAAGCAGGTACTACTAGCTCAGAGGATCTGAGTTGGTTCCCAGTTAATGGAATCGCTCAAAACCGTAATTCAAGCTCCATGGAATCTGATGTCCTTTATGTCCTCTGTGGGCAATGTACTGCCATGGATTGGTACCAACGCATAATTGTAAAAAAAAAAAAATTCTTTATAAAAGAATTTGTTGCTTTAGGAAAACTGCCCTACCTCTATGAACTGTTTCCTGTTTACTTTCATAAAGGGAGCCAAGGTATGTTGGTTCCATTTTATTAGAAATTATGAAGACTGACTTTAGTCAGGAAAGACTGTGATCCACAAAGGATACTGGATGGTGATGATGGAACTGGAGAGAGTCAACATGATTTTCCCATGTTGATCTTCAGTTGCCAATGGCAGTCAACCTTCCTAATGCTGTGACCCTTTAATACAGTTCTACATGTTGTGGTGACCCCCAATCATAAAACTTTGTTGCTACTTAATAACGGTAATTTTGCTAATTATGAATCATAATGTAAATATCGAATATTCAGGATCTCTCATATGCGACCCCTGCCAAAGGTTTGATGCTATGACCCACAGGTTGAGAGCCACTAATTCAAACCAATGACCCTCAACCACAGCAATTGGTGTATATTTGTATGTGGTTTGTTGTGTAGCAGATTCCCCTGAGATGGAAACATTCCATCCTGTAGAGGAGCTCCTTAAGCAGGAAGGTAAACAACTCAAAATAACTTCAAGAACTCTCTAAAATTGACCAGACTCATGAGGCCCCTCCCTGCCAGAGTAAGCAATAAAAGCTGAGAATCCCTCCGAGACCCAGAGAAGCCAAACTGCAAAGAAGACTCTGCAACCAGCCCAGCTGCCTGGTGGAAGCAGAAATGAGCCAAGCTGCCCAGAAGAGGTTTAGACAATTGAGGCACCTGGAAAGGCCACTCCCCAGGCTGTTCGGCTCTCTGCGGGCTGTGCAGTGAGCTCCAGGTTCCCAGCTTTTGTGAGCTGTCACCCATGCTGGGGTAGACCTTGGAGATGCAGCTGTCTCTGGGTTGTTCCTGTTCCTGTAAGTAACGCCTCACCCACACCTCTGTAAGTAACCACAATAAAGCTCATGGCTCACCAAGTGGGGCCTTGGTAGTATTGGTAGTATCCGATTTCAGTCTGCCATGGGTTCCCTTTCTGGGGTGAGTACACGTGTGCATTGCAACTCCCTGGGAAAAATTATGTCACCCAATATGATGCCACAGTTAATGTCTGATGAAGCATAGCACAGTAATAGTGAATAACTTACTATCCAATGGAAACCAAGGCTCTTAGGTGTTTAAGTCATTCCTAGTGTGGAGTTTGACCCTTTTCCCTAGGTATGCCCATGGGAGTCAACAGTGATTGTTTGAAGGTGAAAATGGTTTGAAACATTTATGACATGTCTCTCTCACCACAGTGACCATAGTGTATGCAATTAGTGAGCAAGATGCAGTCAGAGGGGGAATTCTTTTCTGCCAACTTCTCAGCTTTGCGGACTCTGAAAAAGCTAGTTAACGTTGGAGAATCTTGGTTTTCACATCTGAAAAAATGAGGAATATAAGAGAGAGGATTGAGAGAGGTGAGTCAGCAGTAAGTGACCAAACATTGCCAACTGTCAACATTATCACTTACTACGCACCTGAGACTGCCCCTGTTTTATTAGATGTTTTCAAACAATGTGCCAAACAAGACACATATTCAGACCATGCCAGGATGTGTGGTTGTAGCATTATTTCTTATCTACTCTGTATATCATCCTGAACTATCAGTTACTTTTCTAATGACTGTGACCAAATACCTGACAAGCCGCAACTTAAGAAAAGGAGGGTTTATTTTGGCTCACAGTTTGCAGGGGGTTCATTTCCCCTCGGGAAAATGGAAACGTTATTCTGAGGACTTGCAGGTGTTTGATATCAAGTTTTGTTGTTTTGGCAGTGGGTCAAATATCAAGACTCCTTCTTGCAGTTGAGGTGGCTGACTGTTACCAGGACCAAAACAAACACGCTTTGGGAGGGGCTTACTTAATCAGTAAGTTCAAGGTGGAAATGACCTTACCATCTGCTTGATGCAAAAGTTTATTGTTGTGATCAGCATGGTGTTCACCTCACTTTGCACCGTGCCCTGTCCCTTGGCATGACCTCCTACATCATGTGCCACATGCTCACAGGATGGCTTTAGTAGCTCTAGAAGGACATAATTACTGACGCTCTCTTTTCAGAACTCCTAGCCAACGTCTCATTGCTTTGATGAGGTCATCGTTCCGTCTCTAAGCCAAACCAGGGTGATGCTGGATATAACTATGACTTAAGCTTAGCAACATGTTTTGCTTTGCTTCAAAAGCCAGTGGTTTAGCAGTTACCAAAGCAGATATCCACGATAAATATCAACATTGGCCTCATTCTACATAGTGAGCATTAGGTGTCGGGTAGCTCGCTGTGTCCCCACACTGTTTCATTCATTCGGAAGACACACTGAGGACCTGACACAGTAAATCAAAGCAAACATAGCCTCTGCTCGTAGAGAGGGGTAATATACCATGAGTTAGGTATTACTATCTGCATTTTAGGATAACTGATACTTCCAAATGTCACTTCAGTTATCCACCATGTTTTTGTCGCTGAATGATAAACAGAAATTCAAATACAAGGCAGGTTGAATGTGGGGAATTCGGAGAATAAGCTACCCAAGACTAATCTGTTTCTCTGTGACCACAGGGTCCCATCGTGATGACATCACATGATAAAGAAGAGAGACAGAGTGCGGAAGTTGTGGGGCACCATTCCATGTCAATGGGTCGCTATTAATTCTGTTGGGTTCTTCGTGAGAAATGACCACAAACCGACCAGCTGTTTGGTGGGGGTGTATTTTTACTTAATCTTATTTCTTCTCAATACTTTATAGCTCCCAATTTGGTCTCAGATATTTGGGCCTTGGAGAGTAACTTTTTGGAGTGACTTTATGGAGGCCAGTGACAACTCCATTGACGCCTTTGGCCAACCTCAGGAAACAGCAGCTAAGAGAGGATGAAGAATGCCCCAAATCACGCCTGGAAGGAGAGCTAAAACCTGGCTTTGAAGCACTTGGTTTAGATCTGCTACTTGCGTCTCCCGCTCCTGTCATGTTTTGTGATTTCTTTTGGCATTTATTTACCAATTTTCTTTAGTCTATGCTCATTTTTAGCAGCAACATTTGTCACATGTGTAATTGAGAATGCATGTTTTTCCCAAAGTACATTCAAATAAATATAAAACTAGGTCCAGGGATGTAACTCAGTTGATAAAAGGCTTGCTTATCTCACATACACAGAGGCCTGAATTTGATCCCCAAGAGCTGCAGAAAAAACACATGCTTATCATCCAGTACTCATGAGGAGAGAGATGGAAGACTAGAAGTTAAAGGCCATTTTTGCTACATTGTAAGTTTGAGGTCAGTCTAGGATGTATGATATCCTATGTTGGTATGTACAATCATGCATACATTCATACATACATATACTTAAAATTTGAAACTCCACTTGTCAGCCCTTTGTAAATATCAAACACCAAGCCTCTGAGAAGTCTGGTCTATGCCTGGGACATGTTTTATCAGCTAGTTGGCCACAAGAACCAAGGCAAACAGATAATGTTCTTGAAAAACATTTTTGTTGTTCAGAAGAAGGGGAAGGGTCCACGGAATGGGGATGTAGTCATTTTCAGTTCCCCAGGTGTGGCCCCGATGTCAGAGTCTCACCCTGCCCCGAACTCACTTCCTGCCAAGGCTTGGGAGGGAGATAGTCCTGCCATTTGAAGGCTAATTGAACTTTTCAAGCCTTGCTAAGGCTTTTTCGTTGTTTTGCAACTTGGGTGAGCTTTTGTGTTGTGCCTCTGTGGTGGCTGTCAACAAGCCTACTGTTCAAATTGAGCAATGCCTATTTTGGGAGAGCAACGTGAACCGTTTTAATGAAACCATCGCCACCTTCATTTTACTCTGGTATAATTATGCTTGCTTCTCCAGCTGACGGGTCCAATTGCTACCCAGCTCTGGTACTAAAGGATGAAATTCCCATTCCCAAGTGCATTTCTGTGTCTACTTAGTTGGGAGAAGGATTAGGGAGACTGCCTAATTTTTTGCTTTGGAACAGGAGAGGAAAGAGACACAGGGGTCTTTCCTCTTTCCCTATGCAGAACACTCTGCCTCTCAGAGGTGGCTCATTTGTTTCCCCACTTAATGACAAGGTTTAAAAAGTCTTTGTTCCCTCTCATCTCTATTCTCAGTTGCCAAGATTCTCAGGGAGTTTGGGGACACTGGCTGCTGGCAGGCTTTCTTGGGAGAAATGGTGTTCACTTACGGGTTTGTTTTTTAACTATTTTTCATGAATGAATCCACCAACTTTGCAAAATTACATGGTATCTGACCCTCAACTCTGCATGAGACAGGTAAGCCAGGTATTCATTGCCATCGATCATTCAAGTTGGAGTTTAACAGCACTAATTAGTGTTCAAATCTGTTGCACACTTCAAGGACCCAAGGTGTGTTGGAAATGAACTAATGCTCAGGTCAGGACTTCTGCTTCTGGATCCCCTATGATGTCCTGGTGAAAGTCACTGAGATGGATGTAAGGTTTGATCTCCACCTTACTTGCTAGCCCTGACGGACAACTACATCTTTACAGACCTGTCATCAGCCTGGTCTCTTTTGATTAAACCAGGATAGTAATGGTCTCTATGTGTATGATGATTTTCAGATCCCATGCTCTAATGTTTGGAGGTGTAGTCACCTCCTCCGCAGAGGTGAGCTCACATCTTCTTAAGTTGGGGTCATGATGACCGTCATAACTGAATGTGGGGGTCCTGTAAATGTCGGCAATACTAAATGGTTTTAGAATGTACACTCACCAAATTAATTCACACTTAGATGTGCAATACATCTAAGGTGTTTCTGGCAATATATGGCTGTGAGGGATCTTGGAGCTTCCCTGCAGACTTTGTTCTGAACATGCAGTGTGTGCCCTTTGCACTGTACGCACACTCATGCCATGCACACCAGTCCACATTGCCTGAAACCTCAGCTCAGAATAGAGACTGTAGGCTGTTGTGAACTGTAGCGTTTCTTCTACAAAGTTTTTGGCTCATCTAGAAGCCTGATTGTTTAATTAAAGAAAACAAGGACTTTTAATACTTTTCAGGAGCTATTCCACAGTGTACAGAGATCAAATTATGACGTCTTTTGATTATATTATGTTAGGATATTTGGGTTTTTTATTTTTAATTGCTGTTTGTTGACTCACAAGTTAAGAGCATTTCTTGCTCTTGTAGAAGAACAGGAACAACTTCCAGTACCCACATAGTGGCTTACAGCCATCCATCACCCCGGTTCCAGGGAATCCCACTCGCATTCCTAACCTTGTGGTGGGTGGAAGCAGGATTGCATGGGGCACATATATGTATATACAAGTAAGACACTCATACATAAAAGATAAAATGACTAAATCTAAAAGACATTCAAAAATTGCTCTTTGAGTTGCAGACTTGAGTTTCATCACAAACCATTTAATGCATTTTGGCTTGTAATCAGGACCTAATTCCCCACAATTTCTTTAATGGCCCTAAACATACTTCTGTCATCTTGTATTATGTATTTATGCCAAGGAGTATTCTTAGCATTGATGATTATATAATCAAAACATTGACCAGCTTGAAAAATGGTAAAGATACTCTATATCCTGCAGTATTAAATATTCATTCAGGTTTTAATTCTGTAAAAATAAATCAGCATGTCCATCTCATTAGTATGAATACTTACTTTTGTCTTTAGCAATGATAAAATTATTTATACATGCTTATATATATATATTTATCTATGCTTTTAAGTTGTGTTTTAAGATAAATTTCTTCATGATTTATAAGTGTTTTATATCTATTTTATATCCATTTAATTTGGGGTTATGTAAAAAATTTTTCTTATGAAAGGGGTCATGTGTGGGAGTTTTGGAATCTAGCTGAGTTCTCTGCTTCTGGACATCATTGAGTCTCAGCTTATTTTATATCCAGTAGAATAACTTTCTTATTGATATTTTTTTATAAAAGTACCTGAGAAAAGCAACATAAAGAGCAGAGGGTTATTTTTGACTCCTGGGTTTGGTAGATATAACCCATTTCGGTTGGAAAGTGGCAACCAGAGCTACTCATTCATAGTCGGAGAAGCTTGAGGTGGCAGCTTCTCACATCCTGGTGGATCAAGAAACAGAGCTATATTAGAACAGAAACTATGATAGCCTTCAAGGCCAACCCTATGGCATTTAACTTAGCCTCTGAGGTCCCACAGTTCACTAAAATAATGCCACCACCTGGGTAGCAAGTGTTGAAATATGCAAGTCTGTGGAAGACATGTCTGATTCAAGTATGGCTGATATGGAACAATGGTCAGCATTCTGTCAATTATATTTTAAATAAACACTGATTGGCCAATAGCCAGGCAGGAAGTATAGGCAGGACAACCAGACAGGAAGTAGAGGTGGGTCAATGAGAACAGAATTCTGGGAAGAGGAAAGCCCTCTCCTCTGCAGTTCTGACCTGACCACAGAAGAAGCAAGATGTAACTGCCCGGCTGAATAAGGTACTGAGCCACATGGCTAACGCAGATAAGAGTAATGGGCTAATATTGGGCTATATAAGTTATAAGAGTTAATAAGAAGCTTGAGCTAATGGACCAATCAGTTTATAGTTAATGTAGACCTCTGTGTGATTTTTGGGGGGACTTAATGACTGCAGGAACTGGGCAGGACAGAAACTCAGACAGCACATGACCTCACAACTTATGTTGCTAAAGAGGTTGAACAGTACCCAGTAAGAGAGAAAAAGACTAATACACCAATAGATGCCTTGTTGGTATTAACAACTGACCTGGAACACAGAGCTCAACCATGATATCTTCCTATTGGAAACAATCTCACCTTACATCATCATATAAGTTCACTCCATGACTATGATAGAGTACAGTGAAAGCCAAGATCTCTCTGAAGTTTTGCCTAAACCTAAAAACATAATATAAAACAAACTATAGAAATACTAGTAAGCATCCTACCCAGTGACTGGTACAAAAGATGACTACAGGTTTAGCCTTAAGTCTTCTCTAGATAAATTTTTTGTAATATTTACAATAATAGTGCCCATTTTCTGACAGCGTTGAACAAGACCTATATAATGTCCTCCTAACTCCACTATGGCTAAGCTACCCTGTGGTTCCCTAGTGTGTTCATATACCTCTGCCACCATTTTTTTTTTAAAAAAAAAAAAACCTACTTGGTTCAGCAGCAGTTGTTTTCCTGTCTTTGTCTAGAAGACATTGGTGCCTCTCCTACACAAAGTCCTGCAGCCCCACTATAATATGATAACTTAAAGGATCACAAAATTATCCACTCACCTTCACATTGCTCCAACAAATCTGTTACACTCTTTCCATTCAGTCTCTGTGTTACCCATACACCTCATTTCCCATCATACTCTGGTAGAACCTTCTAGAATTCATGCCTTCTTTGTCTCTCTGTTTGTCTCTGTCATTCACAGTTGGCTATTTTCCTTTTTATCATGTCTGTATCCTTCTTCCTGACTCTTTCCTCCTCCCAGACAGCCTGGTGTTTGACAGTTGAACACTTGCTATACACTAGCTGCCGTCCTCAGAGGCATCCATAAATTGATGAGTTTGAATAGTCTTTGAACTGGGTACCGTTACGATGTCTGTCCTTCAGGTGAGAAAACATCACAGGGAAGCCGATGTGCCTAGTTCCATAGTAGATGGCTAAACCACATTAAAATACAGTGACAGCATAGTGCTACTAAGATTAATAAATTAATTTCTATTTTATTTTATTAATAAAATAAAATGCAAGTGTGTGAGATTTTTTTAAAGAACTTTTGAGGATTGATGAGATATATCTCAGCAAGTAAAAGCTACACAAGCCTGAGGACCCCAATTTGGCTCCCAGATCTCACATGGTGGAAGGAGAAAGTCAGCTCCACAAAGCTGTCCTCTGAACTCTGAACTCCACATATGAACACACACACATACACACACACACACACACACACACACACACACACACTTATTTACAAATGCAATGGTAATGATAATAAATAAAATTTAGAGAAAAAGAGTATTTATTGGTGAACTTGGTTTTTGAATCTCGATTTTGTTCCTCAAATCTTTTCTGTTGCAGTTCACCCTCAACGTGAAGCCCCACTGAATACTGTGTATGCTCAAGTGAATCTTACTATGAGTGACTCATAATAAGGCTCTGTTTAGCCCTGATTTCAAGTGGTCATTTGATATTTCTGACTCATGGTTTCCTTCAAAATAACTAATCCACTTATTAATCAAAAGTGAACATAGTCTTGCTTGAATCTAGCATGCTTTATTAAAGGCTTGCAGATTCATATGCTAACTTTTGACTATCAAAAAAAATTGAATTAAGGCTGTATTACATGCTGAGTGTGTTCCAGGACAGCGAAGACTCTAGAGCGAACTGAAAACACATTGAGAAGCCATGGAATTTTAGGGTAGCAAGTGGTGGGTTTTTAAAATTAATTTTATTTGTGCATGTGTGTGTGTGTGTGTGTGTGTGCGCGCGCGCGTGTGTATCTTTGTGAGTGTGTATGCGGAGTGATGGTGCCTACTGATGCCAGAAGGTATCAGGGCATTCTTGGAGCTACAGTTAAGTGCAGTTCTGAGCTGTCTGATACAAGTTCTAGTAACCGAGTCCTCTAGGAGAGCAGCAAGTACTCTTAACAGCTGAACCATCTCTCTAGTCCCCTAAGACAGCTACATGTTACCAGATCAGGTATGTGTTTGGCCTATATGTATATGCTTCTATGCCACACACTTGCTATAGATTCATTGTTTTCTTTAAATCCATATTTAGGGATTCCTTTCTAATATTTGTCTTAGGAGCACACCACTCCACAATTAGGACCTTCTACCATGGAGTCTAGCCTCTAACCTAGAGGATAAAACTTTTCCCATGAGCTCAAGATAAAAACAACATAGAAATAAAGTATTCCTGTGAGCGTATGTGTAGGTCCTTGCTTTTCCCCCAGTCTGCAGGCCATCAGGTCATGAGGGCAGAAGTGACAAGCAGAGCCTTCTCCGGCCTATGGTACAATGGAAACACCCTTCCGGGAGACCGTTTCAGTGTTGCAGCTCAACTTTATTCCAGAGTAAGGGAAAGTATAAAGACTAAGGACAGTGGCTGGGGCATTGCAGAATTTGCATTAAGCACCACACTCTTATCATAAGGCTTCCAATGTGGCAGCAGGATCCTGGAGCAAAGCTCCTAACATAATGTCAGATTTCCATATGGGCAGCAAGGAAAAGCTCTAGCAGGGACCTGTATCAAGGGTCACAGCAGGCATCTGGGCCTAGATACATTCTCCAAATATGGTCAACTAGAAAGCGTGAAGTCTCTGCTGGAAGGCGGGGAAGAGTCTGTGTCGCACCAAACTCAGAAAGAGCTGCCAGCCCACAGTAGAATGCAACCTCTAACCGTCAGGGCCTCCCAACAGATATGAAGTAAGGGAAGGGAAAAATCCTTGGCACACCAGCAGAGGCTCTGGACACCAAGATTTGTCTGAAGACTGAGCAACCTGTGACTTTGGGGTCTCAGAGAAATTGACACGCCCTCCTGTATATAAACCTCTGTATGACTTCTCTGACCTGACAGGAGCAAGGCAGTATTTTTGCTTATAACATTCTCTGTCCGTCACTCACGGCAGAGAATTCTCTTTATATCCTCACTTTCTCTCACCCTGCTATTTAGGGAATTCCGTAGTTTCCCGCTGGGGCTTCTGCAGTGCTTCAACTGTGTGGGGAAAACAGATAGAAGTTGTAAAACATTGAAGACCAAGTGAGAGAGAAAAACTTCAGTCATCACAGAAGAGGGAAAGTGATGAAAAGATCCACAAGAGAAGAGTGAGGTCCATCTTTGCTCCCACAACCAACTCCACAAAAGGTAGTTCGGGGTTGATGATGGGAAAGAGCCTTGAGTAGATTGGGGTCATCTGTGTGTGGAAGATGGTTTGCAGACACGTGTGTTTGTTTTCCCTGATGTCTATCAATGCTAGTAAAGCTTTAAATTGTTTTCCCCATGCAGTAGCTGACCTGTGTTTCTTCGTGTGTATTGTTTACTACACAAGGACCTGAGTTCTTATAGTCTGTTAACTGGGAATTGCGTGTGCTAGGCTGTGCCCATGCTATAAGGGTCAGATTCAGAAGACTGTCAGAATTGGTTTAAGGGTACCATATGTGAAGAGGCCTATAGCTCAGCTTGGGTGCTGTGAAGAGGGAAAAGTTCAAAACCATTTAACTTGCAAGCACTTGTGAGAATAGAGACCGCGGGGTTGGGGAGCTGACTCAGTGGGAAAAGTGCATGTCATATAAGTGTGAGAGTCTGAACATGGATCCCTATCAACAACATGCTACCCCAGCATTGGGGATCAGGGGCATGTGAATCCGAGGGGTGCACTGTCCAGGCCGTCTGATGAAATGGATTAGACGGAGACACTATCTCAATATCATGGAAGAAATGGGGCTAGAATGAGGATTCAGTGGTTAAGAGTTCACACTGAGTTCTCTTCCCAGAACCGCTATCAATCGCCCACAACACTAGCTCCATGCAGAG